GAAATTTAAGTGGTAGATGGCTTGCATCAGAACCAAGAACATTACATTATCATTCTACCCGGCACAGTTGTGGGGTCAGCTTCAGTCCCAGCCTCCAAGCGCCTGCGCATGCTTGGTTCACCTCTTTCCTCTTCGACATTGAGACGACTGTTCGTGGCAAAGGTTAGCACCCGACCTGTCCGGTATCTGGAGACGTACCATAACGGACACCGGCCAGACCACTGGGAAAGCCAAGGGTCGATGCAAGCTTTATGGAACTTGTGGTGGCAAGGCAAGACTCTGATTAATTCGTTCGTTGAGTAGGCAACGGTACAAACGCAACATGCTTCATCCATATTGCTTTTGTTTTGAGGGTGGAAACCTCCAGAGATCATGGGTTGATCTGTTCTGACATTCTGGCTAATTCAATTAGCCGCCAACGTCTTCCACATCGGCTTACATACCACATCAAACTTCGGTCTCAGCTCTATGTCGTCCCCAGAGATAACGTCGTTCGTATTGTGAAAGTGTATGACGGGGATTGTGTCCAAAACAGCTTTGGCGATACCTTGTATTCTAGTCCGTGATGGACTCTCAGTGCCGCCAGTCCGTGGGCCATACTGATCAGGGTTTCGATAGGCTTTGGTAATACCTCTCACCAGCGTGACGGTGCATGAAAGTACCAAAACCCCCATGGTTCCATAGAAAATGCCGAGTACCACCACTCGAGCAATATATTCCTCGGACCTAGGAGCAAGGATTCGACGTGGTGTTGCTACGTCCAGGTATGCTGAGCTGAAGCTACCGTAGAAGAACATGTCGTCAGACGACTCTCGTTTTCATATGGATATCTCGGTTGAATGAAGGTATATCTTGATGTCAAGTCGTCAGTGTGCCGGAAAGTTCTGGTGATATCAATCTATATTTATAGCACCACATTCTCAGATCAAGCCTGTATCCAATGTGTATTGCTCTTGGACGCCATTGAAGGATGGAGCTCTCTCCCTAGAACACGTTGCATGATTGGTCTGTGGCACTGAGAAGCGTTGAGTTCACCACTTCCCTGAATTGGATCTCGATGAGCCGAATTGGGTTACATAATCGGGATGTAGACTCCGAAGTGCTGGAGATATAGTGGAGCCTTCAGTAACTAGAATGATGGATAAAGATGACCGTCCCAGGAATGCTGCTGAACACAATCTCTTTCTTGCTTTTTTCCATGATCATTGGAACTCATCATCTATTTTCAATTTACCCCCGAGATGGCTTTTTTATCCGCCAAATGGCTTCGCATTGCCTCCAGCCAGCGCCTCTGCCGATCATCACAAGCCGTGTCAGTCGTGGACCAGAAAACTTATGTTTTTGGCGGCGAGTTGGTGCCCCGGGAGCCTATCGGTAATCAAATAGACACAGTCGACGTCGAAAACGAAAACGAGAAAGGTAGGAAGAAGCCCATGCAATTTCATGCCTTTGCTAATCGATCAGCCAACCCCTCCGTGAATACAATCCCTGCACCGGCAGAGGCTCCTATACCACGCGTTGGCAGCCCCAGCACCACAATCAATGGCAATATATGGATATTCTCTGGCCGCGGAGGCCTTGACATGAAACCCATTGAAGAACAGGGTACGCTGTGGCGCTACGAACCAGGCGCTGCCAAATGGAGCTCGGTCAAGCCCGCCGATCCAGCCGCACCGTATCCTGCAGGGCGCAGCTATCATTGTGTGACCTCGGATGGCAAAAGCAAAATATTCATTCACTCTGGGTGTCCAGAAACTGGACGACTAGCGGATCTCTGGATGTTCGACATCGAGGACATGACTTGGACGGAATTGCCGTTAGCGCCCGCGCCATCTAGAGGTGGTGCCTCAATCGCGTACGCCGACGGCAAACTATATCGAGTGAACGGTTTCGATGGCATCAATGAACAGGGGGGCTCTTTGGATGTCTTTGACATTCCGTCACTTTCATGGAGCACCATGACCTACAATCCAGACAACATGGAAGGTCCAGAAGCCAGAAGCGTTGGAGCCTTGCTACCAGTCATGATACATGGCAGTGTCCACCTGGTCACAATGTTCGGGGAGCGGGATCCCAGCGCGCTTGGGCATGCTGGCGCCGGCAAAATGTTGCCTGATGCTTGGGCATGGGATATCAAGGAAGGAAAATGGCAGAAGTTGAGGACGCCAGGTCAAATTCCAGAGCCACGTGGTTGGTTTGACGCCGATGTTGTCAGGGGCGGAAACAAAAATGAGTCAATCATTGTGCACGGAGGATTGAACGAGAACAATGAGAGACTCGGTGATATTTGGAAGTTGGTTTTTGACTAAACGTTCGTTTCGAGCAGGCCGAAGATGGCAAGGGACTTCTACCAGGATTTGTTCATCTCGAAATGACGGCGAGGATCTCTGAAAGCTCTAAGGAGCTAGCTTAAATACGAACGTGGTGATTGGTGGGGTTTGTAAGCAAATCTAAGGCACACTCCATCGTGAATCATGACTCACAGGTGTTCATCGAAGGGCTTCTGACCATGAACTACGCACGTGTTGTAGACTCCCGTCGTTGTCATTGTACGAACCGCGCAAATTTCGTTGAGCTCGGGCACCCATTGCATCAGCTTCTACTTATCGTTTGGTGAAGCTCCCTCAACCAGCTGTCATCATGAAGTCCGCGCATTCGACCCCCACAGCTCTCGTCATTATCGATGTCCAGCAGGCTTTCAAACATCCAACATACTGGGGTGCGCATCGTAGCAACCCTTCATTCGAAAACAACAGGTGGACGCTTCTCCCACCGCCAGGGCCCATAACGAGATTCAGCCAAAAGCACAAGCTCAGTCCGT